ATAGTTTTTGGGTGGCCAACTTGAGACATAAAAGGTCTGAATTTCAGAAGTGCTGATCTCTTTTGGGTCCCATTGACTTCACCTGCAGTTGTGAATTGTCAGCACTTCTGAAAAATCATACCTTGAGGCTTACTTGGGACTTAATGATGCTTAAGTCTTATGCCTCTGCACAAGGGTGAATTTCATAGTCCATGTTTATAAGTATTAGGGTGGGTAGTGGGGGGTGGATTGGTCGCAACACAGAAAAAGGAGGTCATTTGGAGTTGGGGTGGGACACGTGAAATATCTTTACACTGTTGACCTGACCCAGGTTAATGGTGTTGGCAGTGTTTTGATGTGAAAAAGCTTAGATCACTGCCTTGGGCCGGTTGCAACTAGTCCGTGTCGTTGTTCATCAGTTTTTAGGGCTTCAGAAGGGAACAGGGCAGATTAGGAGAAGCTTTTAACACAGAAAGTTCTTGTTTTTGTTCAGCTTTTTGGTTCTTGTGACCAGTCGCCATAGCAGGAAGCTATGCAGCTTTGGTTAAACCTGTTACATGTGACTGTATTATTGTATGTTAAATAGTTTCTGCAATAGCAGCAGTGCTAAGCAGGCGTGAAATCTGCCCGTGTCAGATACCAAGCTGGTACGGCGCCAGTTTGTTCATGCATACGGGAGCTGCTCCTGCAGCTGAACAGCAGCTGGCAGCTTTCCGGCCTTGTCATGTGTGCTACAGTGTTCTCTGACTGCCCTGTGAACTGATTCACAAGACCAAAATAATACACAGGGTTTATTAAGGACACTGCTGATATATTGATATGATCATGGGATATAGAGAAATCACCTTCTGCATGTAGTTCTGAGTCGGGAGTCAAGTGTTGTTCATGCTACATGTGAAGGAAATTCATATTGTGCTTTAAGGGCCCTGGAAACAATGTATTAGAGTCTGTACTGAAACAACTGGTGAAGCTGAACAGACAGTGGGTTTCAGCCAACATTTTAACAAGGGGATCTCACAAGATGTATTCCTTGTAACTGATGTCAAAGGGCAGGAGTGCTGTACTGTGGAGTGGGGAGGTGAAGAAGTGGGGAATCTATCCATTTGTTTTTCCAGTTCAGTACAAACCAGGGGTGGCCCTATCACTGAGCAAACAAGCTTCTGTTCTGCTGCGCTTTTGCTGGAACTATTTACACTTTGCTCCAAAAAAAATACATTGAGTATGTGCAGGGTTGGGAATGACCCACTGTTTATCATTTGAAGATGGCCAGTGGGGTGAGGGGGGAAGAGATTTAAGATTCTTGGGGACTTGGGGCTATTCTTTCCTGGGAATATGTGGTGGTTTGTTTTTTGTGAGTTTTGGGGGAAGGGGGGAGTTTTTCCAAGTTGTCTATGGTGAACTGCTTTCCATAGCAGGATATGTCACATAAATCCTCCTTCCATGCTAGACCTGTCAAACTATTTGTTTATGAATGTTTGTTACTTACAAATGTAGCTCCTTTTTTAGTTATCGAGTCATTGCTGAACCAATCTTGACTTTCCCAAAATATATTTATTCATAGGTGTTTGTTGAAGAGTTTGGGCGAATAACTTCCAGTCTGTAGCTTTACAAGTTCTTCTTTTGACCATTCGATGCTCAGGATGTATGGTTAGTTGCTTAAGTCACAGGGCATTGTTTCCGCTCCCTGATTAGGTGACTGAAACATTTTTAAGCAGGAGAATAATGAATAGGGATAATACTCATCCTGTATGTATTTGTGGATGAATTAATTATTTGTATTACAATTCATGAAACTTCTGGGGTTCAGAGACACTTTCACAAGCACCACAGAGTTATCTGGATACTTACAAATAGTGAATCGAATCATGAATCATAGTGGAAACTAAATGCTAATTTGGGAATATTTTTGTGAACAAAACTGCTATTGCCCAAATTTTTCTCCTCAAACCTCCGACACTCATGTATGCCTTTTTAAAAAAAAAAAAAAAAAAAAAAAAAATTCAAATGCAGGAGCCATGCTCCAGTTGCAATAAGGAGTGGCATGTTATGGATGAGAGGGGTATTGCTGCACTCTGCCTTCAGCATTACGTATCTCAACACCCTGTAAGTACATTGCCAGCTAGCTAATGTATACCCTGTTAATAGCTACAGGAAGTCACATACAGATCTGTTCCACTTTAGAACTCCTGACATTATCCAGTGCAATTTCTTCCTTTCCTCTGTTTTCTTTTATGTAGTCCCATTTCTTTTACATTTGATTCCCCAAAACTTATAGTGGGATCAAAGCTATTGCCTGCTTTTTCATACTGGGTATCAGCTTTTGGTCTAAGTTTGTATTCATCAAAGGGTTTAATCACATCAGTTCATTCCTGAATCATAAAATCATAGAAGTGTAGGGCTGGAAAGGACTTCAAGAGTTCATCTAGTCCATCTTCCTGCACTCTGGTAGGACTAAGTAAACCTAGACCATCCCTGACAGCTGTTTGTCCAACCTGTTCTTAAAAACCTACAACAATGGGGCTTCCACAACCTTCCTTGGAAGCTCATTCCAGAGCTTAACTATCCTTGTAGTTCAAAAGCTTTTCCTAATATCTAAATCTGAATCTCCCTTGGTGTACACTAAACCGATTGCTTCCTGTCCTACCCCTACTCTGCTTTCCCCTATTTCCATTAGTAACCAAAAACCTTGTGTTTTTTTTCTAACCTTTCTTCCTTCCACCATGCCCCATCCCTCCTGGCCTCAGTGGGTCATGGGTTAACAGTGCTCCCAAGTCTCACTGTTCATGACTGCCATTAACTGCTGGTATTTAGAGCAGCAGCCTTTTGCAACATGGACTATGATCTGTTTCCTTTCCTTGCTCTTCTGCTGGTCTGGCCTGTTCTTTCATTTTGATTTATAACAATATATGAGTGTGCGTTAATGGAAAAAACCTGGAAGGGACAGATTGTGTATGCACAGACAACTGCGCTCAGGAAGAGTGTGCATCTAGCTGCTTAGATTTCCATGTACGTACTGCATAAGGGCTTAGAGGAGCAAGTGGAGCATGCATTTAACTTATAAATGTCCTTTCCAACCCATCTCAATGTTGCTTGTTCTCTCTAGAGCAGTACTACTCGAAGTGGTGGTCCGCGGACTGGTGCTGGTCCGCGAGCCATTGGCTACCGGTCTGCGCCCACATTGGAAAAAAAAATTGCTAGTCCCCCACATCAGATAGCTCGAGAAGCACTGCTCTAGAGAATATGCTCTCAAGGGGCCCCTTTACTCAACAAAAATAATGGTGGTCATCAGAGCGGATCTCGTACTCCAAAAATAATCCATCAAATATTTAGTGAATGTTGCTGTTGCTCATCACATAACGTATTAGACCAGCTTTGCTAGCTGGTGCACCGTTATTTAGAAGCTTGCTAAAGAGGGGACTTTGAGATTTGCTTCTCCTAACTAATAGTTATGGCAGAGTGCAGAGGCCTTGCCTGAACACCAGCCAGCAGAGTTAAATCTCCAGGTACATCACTCTCTGGTGTACAGGGAAGAGCAGGGAAGTGGGGCTGGGGTTGGAGGTTGGTCAGGTGTTCAGAGCACTATAATAGCATCCGCCTGGCTGTCACAATAGGGAGGAGCTGGTAAAGAGGCAGAGCTTCCCAACCAGTAGCTTAACGATAAGGTTGTGGCCAAAGGCAGGGAGTATTGGGTGCACCTCTGTCTCTTATTCCGTTTGTGTTATAAATGGCTCACGCTCGCTTCAGAGTTGTCAGGAGGAAAGCTTCTGTGATGAAATAGTGTTTTGTTGTTGCTGGTCAAGCAGGCCAACAGAAGAAGACCCATGTGTTTGCCTATCAAAATGAAGCAATTGTATCAAAGGACTCACTGTAGCATCAAGCAGCTGTGTTCTCTTTCCCTATGCAAAGACTCTAACTGACTTCATAGGGAGCAGGGCTAGGCGCATAGAAATGCGGACCTGAATTCTCCCCTGCCTTGCCCTTGTATAGATAATCATTTACATCTGTGCAAAGCGGATACTGAATGCAACCATGTAACTGCAATATACGCTCATTGTCATACAAAGGTAAAATGTCAATAGAATGTGTGAGCAGTGTTGTTGCTGTGTCCATCCCAGGATCTTAGAGAGACAAGGTGGGGGAGGTAATATCTTTTGTTAGGCCAACTTCTGTTGGTGAGAGGGTCAAGCTTTTGAGATCTTCACTAATTGAGTGTAACAGCTAAATACAAGGTAGAACAGATTGTTTAGCATAGGTAGTTAACACATGTTTCAAGGGACCATTCAAGGAGAAGTGGTCCATTCATGCACTTCCAGTAATAGGGGGGAAAGGAAAGGATAGAAGGGAAAAGGCAGCTGGGGAAGGAGGGTTGGTGGGTTACAGATTGTTGTAATAAGCCATAAATCCTGTGTTTCTATTCAGTCCATGATTTTTAGTGTCTAGCAAAGTTATGAATTTAAGCTTCCAGGCTTGTCTTTTGAAAGTGTTGTGTAGGATTTCTTTGAGGATGAGGACTGATAGGTCAGGTATAGTGATCACTTTGTGAAAGGGGTTCTCCCACAAGTGTGTTTTGTCTTTTATCATTTGCCTGTGCGAGTTCATTTGAGAGCATAGTGATTGTCTGGTTTCACCCACATAGGTGTTGCTGGGTCATTCAGTGCACTGTATGAGGTACACCACACATTGTGATAGGCATGTGTATGACCCAGGGATCTTAACCTTGAATGGTCCCTCAAATATGTAACTACTTATGCTAAACAATCTCTTCCGCCTTCTGTTTAGCTGTGACACTCTGAATACATTTTCCAGACCTGGAGAAGAGCTCTGGGTAAGCTTGAAAGCTTGTCTCTCTCTCTCACCAACAGAAGTCGGTCCAATAAAATATATTCCCTCACCCACCTTGTCCGTCAAGGTGTGAGGCAGTGGAGAATCAGGACCCTAGCATCTGTGACCATTCTCAGTACCTAACTTGGGCAAAGGGAATCTACACAAACCATCTCTCCTGCCTTTTATGTTCTTTCTAGGAGATTTGCCTGCTTGCAGTATGTGACCAAATATTCAATCATTACTTTTGGCAAAGGAGTTGATTTTATTTGAAAGAGCCACAGAGTTACGTCATACCACCAAAACATCATTCATAAATATGTTTTAACCCAGATAGTTGGCATATTACCTCCACCTGAAAGTACGATGTCACCATGGAGGCAATATTGGAGCTGCTCTGCAGTCCTAACATAACTATGGTAAGATCTGTGTTCATTATATGCTGCATAAATGCTGGCTGGCTAAGTTAAAGCAGCCCTGATTCAGATCCAGCCTTCCTGATTTGTGCAGCTTTCTGGGTATCTGCAGGTTTGGTGTGGGGCCTGAACCCCCAGTTAATTCCAAAGACCCAAAGGAAATTTTGCAAGGAGAGCCTGTTACCATTTCCTGTACCGATGTTAGTCTTTCCTGTGTTGGAGACCATCTGATTTGTGTATTGCTGGCTCAGGTGAGTTTTGTCACTGAATTCTTAACCTTAATCAAAGCATATTGAATTGTAGGGACCCTGTGTGAAATCATGTGTACTTGAAAATCCCTTATCTGCCATTCATCCTGAATCCGTTATCGCCCACATGATTTGGAATGGGTTTTCCATGGCAGTGGCACCTGGCCTTCCATGGTGCTGAAGTCACAGACTGCTCACAGATATGTAATATCCTATCCTGGGTGTTTACCTAAGGAGCACTTAGACAATGGCGTGGACACATCCTCGTGTTTTAAAAAAAAATCCCTAAAGTAGAACTGTTCATCTCAGACACGGTTTCTGCTGAATAGACTCTAAAAGAATTAGGCATGGCCCATCATCTCGGTAGTGTATTGTGACTGACTTACAGTTAACTTCTAAGATGGGATCCTGGCAGAGAGAGGCTTCAGGATAGTTTTCTCCCTCCTTTTTAGCAGCTGAGTAATTTATTCTCTAATATGGATAAAATGACCGAGCTGTGGCTTTGCTAGTCTGGAGAGGCAGCATCAAAAGTAAAGCCAGGCATTTCACTGCCTTTCTCTATAGGTAAAGCATTTATATGACATGAAAATAGGATGAAACCTGCTGCATTCCCACCCTGATCTTTAAACAGTACTGACAGCATGATACTGAGATGCCATACCAAATAGGTTAGTCACAGGTAACCTAATCCTGCAATAGTGAAGGGGAACTGACTTGAAAATGAGAAGGTCATGCTGAATTGCTTCTCTGGTTTCCCAGCCTTTTGAAATGGGGTTCTAACCTCAGGCCCTGAGTCCCAATGTGCAACTCTTCAAGACCCAACTAAAGCTAAAATTAAGCCACTCTGGTAAATATTTATAGTAGACAGTGTCAGATTCTAATCCTCAGCAGGTCCTATTGCTCACACCTCTCTCATTGCTCTACCCATGCTCTGAAATGGTTAGGAGTTTTAATTTCGCAGAAGGGGGAAAGAATAATAGCACTATAAATAAAATCAACTGTAGTTAAACGCTCTCCAAAGTAATGACTTGTGCAGTTTCTCGAATGACTAAAGTTGCATCAGTAAAAAGCTAACGGAAGTGGAAAACTAGTAGAATGTAATCCCTGTGGAAAGGATACTTGAATTGTGCAGCGATTCATGATTATAGCAACAATCAGGTTTAAATTCTTGTGCATGCCGTTCATTTTGGTAACTGAAGTAGGATTTGTACAGGCTAATTATGCACTTGTGCCGGAGCTTTCGTCAGAGGTGTCTAGGTCATGGGCTCCGACTTAGCAATGCTTCCTTTTCCCTGGATGAAAAAACAAAGCTGCCACAAGATGTAAAAAGTCAAAACGAACGATTAGTTTATTTGCATCATGTTGGCCACAACATCACAGAACAAACATTCTCCTAACCTTTCATTTGTGTCAGATTCTTCTATATATAAATAGAAAAACAGGGCTTTTTCATTGCTCACTTTTTGGGGTGTTTTGCTTTGGTGGTAGTAAGGAAAACTGCAAGAACAAAAGTCCTCTGGGGAGAGCACAGTGTGGGTGCTTCCTCTGTAACAGGCAGCAGCAATTCTGAGAACTGAAGGGCTGCACATGGGAGAGTGCATAGAAAACCAAGGGATTTCAGTTTCATAGTTGCACTCTTCACAACTTCTCTTAGAAAAGCAGCAGGGATAAATTGCCACCTCTTGGGCCAGGAGGGTGGTTCAAGCACTCTGCTGTGTCCAAATAAAAAGCAGAAACCACCTGTTAAGTGGTGTGATCATTCCCCTGACAGTGGAGGAGAACCAGGTTGGGCACATCTGGAGCCAGGAATACAGAAGGAGGGAGCAGCTGCTCTGGAACATGCCCTTTACCCCATTAGAGATCCTGCAGAAGCCCTGTGCTTCTGCATATTGAAGTTCAGGGTAGATGGAGCTGTTCTCCAAGCAGAATGGGAAGGAGGAAACTCTGCCAATTAAACTCATTTTATTTTTCCCTATGGGGTTGTATACACAAAGGGATGCAACTTTCATACAGATGACTCATGTCTGGGGAAAACTGACTCACTTCCAATTGTATAAACTAAATGAATTAACAGAAGATGATTTGGGGCCTCTCATCCTGGTATAAATCAGAAGCAACTCTACTCAAATCAATGGCATTACACTAGTGTGAGACTGGAGCAAGGGGAGTATCAGGCCTGTCATCTGTCCTGTTTGTTCTGTGCTACTCTAGCTGGGGTTCTGTACCCTTGCTCCTCAGTTTCAATATGTAGCTAACCTCAGGGTTTCACAAGCCCAAGGAACATTCCAACATCCCAAGCTGCTTAACACCCAGCTGCTAGAAATGCTCCTTAGCCAGCATTTAACAATAAAGTAACACAAATGCCTTGGTGTAAAAGCAAAATAAAAACCACAGCACACTGGGTTAATCCTGAAGCCCTTCCTCAGACAAACTCCCCTCGACTTCCCCGGGAGTGGTATTAGGGAATTAGCCTGAAGCCTTGTTCTGCCGATGACAACCCTGTGCATAATTTTTGATCTTCAAGAAATGTATTTAGCAAGGAATGTGCCCCTTAAAAATCAAACAGAGCTGAAAGGTTTGCTGTGTCAGACCTGATGTTCCTCTGACATTAAGGACGCATAATTTGCTGACATACTGTAGCAAAAAAAAAAACATCTAGCAGTAAGAGAGAGCGCATCACAGGTGAACCACAGCAAAAGCTTCCTTTCCTCTTTTATAAACAAATCCTAGCTCTTTACTAATTGGCCTTCTAGAGGGGACAACAAAATGAGCAAACTTTGCTATACGGGCTCAACATTTTGTTTGTTGTAACTGAAAATAGCCAGGGCTCTCTTTCTTCATGTTTTTAGGTGTTCATGTTTTCTGCTGCCTTATGTCCCTCATCTCAAGTTGTAGGGTTGTTGTGTGTTTTTACTTTTCATGGGAGTCCTGAATTGATTTTTGTTTTTAAAAATAAACCCATCTCTTAGCATTTAGCTGACCAAATGTCATTACAAACAGCAGTTATGCTGCAGTCTTTGGTAGCTGCAGCCAGTGGATTATTGCATTAATCATAGCAAGGGGCAAGAAAATGGAATTTCTCAGATTAGTCAGCAAAAGAGAATTTGCTGAGAGTTTGGTAAAACCTTGAGGGGCTCTTTTTCCACCTCCCTTCCCATCTCTGCTGGCCGCCTTTATGGCTCCTTTCTCAGCCTGAACCTATTTTCACTTTACAAGTTAGTCTTAGGCAACCTCATTTCTTCACCTCCCATTTCTAGGCAGCCAGATGTGACATCTACCTTTTGATTCCTGACTTCTCCATTTCTTCACCGTTTAACTCCTCTAACTGCTTCTCCAAGGTATCAGGCTGGATGTCCCACCACCAACTCAACACCTGAGTCCCACTGACTTGCAGTGGAACTTAGGTGCTTTTGAAAATTATCCCCTGGATCATGTTACCTGCTAAGTGCATATGCAGTCTCATCAGTCATGTAGAAAAAGATGACTTCCTCTCTGCTCTGTGATATCTCTGTTCAAAATTACACTGGCTTTTTTTCCCCCTGCTGTTATTGAAAATTAATCTCATTTGCTGCCCATTAACACTCTTATGTCTCCTTCAGCATTACTTCCTTCCAGGTTTTCTCCTTCTGTTGAATAACTGTTTTTCAATTATTTTTCCAAGACGTATTGTATTAGCTTTTTTTTGCCTTAGACGACTCTCATTTGGTTTCCTGCCTGTATGTCTAACCACAGTCCCCAATTTATTATTCTCTTGTTGTTCAGGTTATCTTCTGTTTTAGTATCATCTCAGGATCTTGTTAACACACTGATGAGGGCTCATTAACTTTCAGCATCAGACGAATGTTCAGTGGGAAAGTGAAACTCTTCCAATGTCTTTCCAATGCAATGGAAAGATTTTTGTGGAGCTCTGTTGGACTAGTAAATACGGAAGCAAATGCCAGAGTTTGAGTACCCCTGCCCTCCCCCTGCCAGATTTTCAAACCTAAGGTCTGTTAACAAGCATGCCCCTGACTATTCTCAACTGTCACAACAAGAGAAAGGTCAGAACTGATCTTTCAGATAGCCAGGACCCAAACCTCCAGAGGAGTCAACAGATTAATGGCAACATATTCAATTGCTCCTAGAAGAAGATGGGAAGGGAATGCAGTCTTTGGAAAATTAGGCTGTGTTCTCTGGGGCTCGCCCCTTCACGCAGTTGGGTTCTACACTGAAGGAAGGAACGTTACCCAAGCTTTTGGTAATAGTTTTATTAGACTGATTCAGAGGGAATGTCTACACAGCAAACACTGTGCATAGGCTACTCTACCTGGCTTAGCTTGAATCCAGCTACCCTGGGTAACAGTGGCAGTGAAGGCTGCAGAGTGGGTTTCCGAGCAGGCTAGCGAGCTGAGCATGTACCTAGGGTCCATGCTGGATGCATGCTGCCTGTGCTGCCCTGTTGTTACCTGTGCTAGCTGGGTTCAAGCCAGCTCAGGGAGGCAAGCTGGTGCGCGGTCTCTGCTGTGTGGTCCTACCCTAAGAAGTATGCACAGCTACCATGTAAGGCCTCAGAGAGACCTGCATAGTTTGATCCAAAGGAAACCTAAACATTTCCCTGGCAAAAAGAATCGAATGCTGAAATAAACCCATCTAGCGGTTCTTTGATTGCTGCTTTACTCTGTGCAGATAGTAAATGGGCTATATTTGGGGTGGTGACTATATTTAGGTTACCATGCTTAAATATCTGACAACCAAAAGGCCTGGGTTGCGAGGATTTTGTCTGGCTTTAGGGAGTATCAATAACAGAGAAACTGCACCCTAAATCTTTCTTTTCTGGAAGCTGTGTTTGGGCTACATAAACACAGAGGGATTGTTTCCATTGGCGTTTATCATTCTGTTTATGCTGCTTTTCATTTGTTTTCTCTCTGTAATATTGTGAGCTCTTTGAGACGAGAGGAAACAAATAGCTTCCCTTTGCTGCAAACTTAAAGAAGCAGCAATCATATGGGGCATATAACTGGACA